AGCATTAAGGCTTCTCAGGCTTGGCTTTATATCAGCAAATAGTAAGGTTTAGGAATTAGGTACACTTTAGCTCTCACTTATCTAATCAGAAACAATAATTATGATTACTTAAAACTATGTTTGGTCTTCTCAAACCTGAAAAATTACGAATTCTGCCAAAAAATGACATTAAAGAGAGTCCCAAAACATATCCCAAATCCTGAATAGGCCCCAGAAACTTGACATTAAAGAGAGTGCCCCTGCAAAAGCGGGTCCGACAGTAGGAGAGACCATGATAAGCAGCTTTTGACACGCGAGATTTCAGGGTTCGACTAACCGGAATTTCAGTTGAAAGGGCCATGTGCAAAAAGTATGTGAAGCCGATGCCCAGAGCAACCGGGTCTTTTTGCTGACTTGGAGGCTGTCCATGGGGACCATTGCGATGTTTCCCAGGTTCATGGCCATGAGCTCAGTGTGCCAAGTTGAGAGGCGAGAGAAATGTCACTCAACATGTTCCACACTTCCAGTCATGCTGAAATTCCGACTGGATACGCCGTGCTTGGAAGGGATCTTTGTATTTGACTTCCCTTGCCCGTCACTTCTTGCGCGCCTTGCAACTTCGATTAGGGTGATGTGATAATGATGTTCTGGAACCTGACAGAAAGCTTTGCCGCCGGATGTTGTAAGCTGGACGTTGATTCTGTGCATGTTACCCTTTTTCCTTTCCTGTTTGTAGTTTTTTGCTGTTCCGGTGACTTTGCTTTGTCTGACATGCTTTGACAATGTTGTCTGCAAAGTGAGATTTCAGGAGCTCACCCTGGAGTATGGGCCCTTGGAGGGAGTCCTCCGCTTTGTGCCCTCGGTCTGGACCCCATGCTTTGATTGGTCAAGGTATTTGCGACAGGCAGTCAAGGGCGGCTCTTGCAGCGAGGAAAGTGCCCTTGAACAGCATGGCTGCATATTCTAGCTAAGAATTTCACTTGCCGCGGACTTAGTAAGAGATTTTCAGTTTGCAAATCCGTCATGGAGCAAGATGGCGTCTCCCTTGTCCTGGCATGAGGCGCGAGCACCCAATGTATCACTGAAGGCCATAGTACATAGTCGATTCGCAATACCTGTCAGAATGCTGGAGCCCTCACAGTCACAGCTTCAAGGGGTCAGCGGAGCACTCTTTGTTCATCTGAAAGCCAAACTGAGATCCCGGGCTGCATGACCATGTTCACCTTCATCAACAAGTGCCGAGCTTACGCTTTGGATCTGAGCACCGGAAGCATTCTTTGTGGCGAAGGGTAGATTCTTCATAGCATTATCCCTTGCGGGAGAAGGGACGTGCGCGCCAATGCTCCAACTTCCCCAGTCCCGTTCAAAAGATCCGCAAACCGTGAGCCCTAAACAGACCCAAGCCTCAAACCCATAACAAGTCCAAACCCAAAATGCTAAACATCCGTACATGCTGAAGCCAAAATATTCCAAAACCCTTAATCGATAACAGCTGTAAACTCAACATCCCCTAGTCCTGGCCCTGCTTGACACCAAGCCGCAATGTAAAGAACTCCGAGCCCTGAACCATCAACCCCAACAACACGGGGAAAAATCTAAAACCCATTCAGCTTCAAATTCCTTGCCTTAAACAACCCCGAACCCCAAATCCTAACAACTCCAGACCCGGGCTTGAAACCCCAAGTAAACTTAACTCCTAGATCCTACACAACCCTAAGCCCGAAACACCAACCCTAAACCCAGTTCCAGGAAACCTAAGACCTGTTTAACACCGAACTGCAAACCGAAAACACTTTCCAAGCATCCCTAAGCCTCTGGCAACCCTGGACCCTTAGCAACCCAAAATGGCGAACCATGTTGAGCCCTGAGCAAGCCTGATCCCTCATCGACCGACAGCCCTGAACCCTCGACCCTACACAACACCGAATCCGAAACATCCCTAAACAACCTGAACCCTCATCATACGCAACCTGCAGCCCCTAAACAGCTTCAAGCCAAAACGCCCTCATCAACTCTAGACAACCCTAAACCCTCATACAACACCAAGCCGCGGACCCTAAACAACTCCAAACGCTAAACCCTATTCAACAAACCCCGAACCTAAACGGCGGCAAGCCTTCAACCTCACAACCCCCTTAACCCTAAACAACCCTGAACCCCTAACAACCCTAACCCTGAACAAGCCCACGCTCACCCCCAGAACCCAAGCCCTAGACCCCAACCCTCAGTGCACCCTAGACACCCTGAACCCTAATACATACCAAACCCCAGATCCTTAACAATTCCAAATCCGGAAGCGTCAAAAGAAACCCAAGCCAAGAACCTCACACCCTAAGCTACAAACCCACAAAACCGAGGGGTATGAAAAAACTTTGCACAACCCCGACAAGCGCTCAAAAGCCCTAAACCCTAAACCGAAGCAAGCACACACCCCAAATAAGTATTCCCAAGCCCTAAGCCCCAAACAAGCCTAAATCTCAAACAAATCCAAAAGCCGATACCCAAACAGCTACAAGCCTTCAAACCTCACAAACGCGAAACCCTAAACCCCAAGCAACCCCACACCCTAAACAGCCCTAGACCCCAAACAACCCAAACCCTAACCCTAAAACCGGAATTAACACCAAACCGCAAACCCTAAACAGCTCCAAATCCTAAACCCCGAACAAAATGCGAAGCTGTGAACCTAAACATCTCCTAACTCTAAAAGGTAATTGACCCCAAAGCCTAAACCCCACGTAACCCCATCCTCAAAGCATTCGAAAGCGGGAAGAGGCTACCTTTGATGCACCCTGAGCCTGAGACTGCCTCATCATTGTGTCATTGTTGTGATTTTCATTTTTCCTACGTGAAGACCAGCCCTGAAAGTTTCACCCCAAACCCGACCTTAGCCTCTGAGTTCTGCGTTTTGCTTAAGTGGCGTCTTATGCATGAGCAGAAAAAGTGTCAGCTCGGTTGCCCAAGAGGGACTGCACTCAGACAAGGTCCATCGCGTCAGGCGTCAAGGACCAGAATATAGACATGTCTTGTAGGTTGTGCGACATTGCCGGCACTGTGCAGGGCCTTTAATTTCGGAAAAGATGTAAAGAAGGTAGCTATTCTTGGTGGAGTTTTTGCAAGCAGTCCAGGGTATTGAGGGCACGGGGATCCGTGATGGAGAGCAAGGCCAGGGACTCCCATTAAGAGTTTTGTAAATGGCAAGAAGGCCTGGCTTGATGGGCTTTGTCGACCACGACTGCGTGCTGATTACCAGTTTCAGTGTCATTGTTAGGTTTTGAGTTTCGGGTTGACATGGAGGAAGCGAAGGGTACGTTTCACATTGAACTTGCAATTTAATCCTTTGTAAGTGCTGGTACACTTTCGTATGTGCCCCTGCTTGAACAGCCTCCCAGCTCGCGCGCAGGAGACGATGATAACAGGAGAAGCGCCGCGGGCTGAGTGGGTCCTCCATCCCACGTGCTGCATCTCAGCGAACCCCTAGACTCTAAGTATTGATCTCTGTTCTTGACATCGGCTGGGACTGACTGACTGACTGGCTGACGCAGCCATCGCAGCCAAGGTCCTACATAGCAACTGGCCGTCCCAACGCCTCGCTGGCATGTGATGCATATGTGATGCAGACCGCTAGAAAGCAGGCATGACCAACATCTGGCACGCAGCCGGTCGTACATCTGATTTGCAGAGCAGGCTGTGGCAGCAACTGTATGTCTTACTTCGCGGCAGGCCAACACGCACTACAGTTGGAAGGAATGCTACTTCATCCACTGCCTGAGCCCTGAAGCATATGCTGGCACTTCGTGGGTTAGGTCACTTGTCAAAGTGATGGTAGCCGGTCAGCTAATGCTGGCATTGGGAACTCCTCAAACTTGGCCTGGGCATGGGCTGGCTCAGGCTCCAGCCACTATTATCCAGCCCTCATGATCTTCATGGGCCGCTCGGACATACATTGGCAGTTGAAGCGGACTGTTGTTGCGCTCTGCATCGCGGGAAGCGCCTCGTTAAAGCAGATTACAGGCCAGAGTGCATGTTGTCCGCTGGCCCGTCTTGCTTGAGACGCTATGAGGCTACACGATCTACTGCTTGGTCTCGCAGGCATGATCACTTTGGTAGCCGAGTATGACTGTTCCCAGTGTGTGGAGGTAGCCTAGCTGCCCCTACACCCTTTACACAAGTGCGCAAGGAGGTAACCACAGAGATCCTGTCCTGCAAAATGTCCAGACAGATCTGCAGATTCTCAACAACCAAGTCTGAGCTGGGATTTAGCTTGTTCGATTCAAGTCACGTGGTGTACTGGTCCTGATTCAGATCTCTGGTGAGATTTCGCAGGCGCAAGGCTTCTCCACCCTCCCCATGATGGTTCTGCTTGCCTCAGCGGTGATGTGGCTGCTCAGCTGCATGCAGGCAGTTGGGCACCAACTTCTGTGCGTTCTATGAATGAGAGCAATTCACACCCCAACAGTAGAGCTAGCAGTGCTCCTCTGATGGGTGTCGGGCTCAGTCCCCATGGGCATTCCTGCAGGCCAGTTGACCGCAGCAGTGCTGAGGCTAAGCGTGCTTGTGTTGATTGGCGTATGCTGGACGTGACGGCAAAAGCTTGCTTACGCAACCTGGCATTGCTCACACGCATGCAAGCTCAACAGCTACACGCTCAAAATCTATCCTTGATGTTTTTTCTTGCTGTCGTTGCTTGGAGGCGCCTTAAGAATCTGTTTTGTCTGAAACTTGTTCAACTAGTAATGTTCACGGGCCAGCGAGGGCAGTCATGCCGTGCTTTCTGAGAGGGCTTGTTCAGCCCAAGTGCTTGTGGAATCTGAGAGAGCTTCGGGCAAGACAGGTAAGGCTTTTCCGCGCAGATTTTAGTTTGACTTGTATACGCTGCAACCAAAGCTTGCTCCGCTTTCGCGTTTGAATTTATGCAATAGTATTGAAATTCGCTGGGAAGCTACATAACTTCAAAATGAGTGGAAGAACCTTCAGTCTGATTTTGTGCTCGTAGTTGAAGCTCTAGCTGGAAACTATTTGACAAGATTGCATACTCTGACAGCGGCGCGCCATTTGAAGAAATTGAGAAGCACCTTTGGAGGCCAAATCTTGGCTGAAGACAGCGCAAGGTCTGATATTCAGCTGTGTGGTGTCCGCCACAGCATAGCCGAGCCACAGGAAACAGCAATTTTCAAGCCCCCATCCCATTGCCCAGTACCCTGCTCTCAAAGGTTGATAGCGCCAATTCTGTTTTGTCCGCAGCCAACGCTGTCGCAGCCTCAGCTCCACAAAAGTTGTGAGCAGCCCAAGAGTTGTCGGGAATGACGAGGTTGCCAAAGCACAAAGACAAAACTCTAAACTGGTCCTTAGATATTATGTCTCCTGGTGGCAGGACATCGCTGGGCTGGCACCTCAGTCGTGCAGACTGCTTCTGCTTTTTCGGAGGGAACATAGGACAATGCTTCAAATCAGATGGGATGCGGCTACGCAAACTCAAGACTGCTCCGATATAGTCTATATAGGGCCAGTAGACATCGAATACCCAGACTTAGAACGAACGGTGGGTTGAGGCCACGACTTGAGCGAGTTCTGGCAGTTCACAATTGCGGCTCCTGACTGGTCTGTCCTGTCCTCAACCGCCAGAGGGTCTGGGAGCTCTTGAATGTGGGGCACACTTCCGTTTTTTACTTGCCAACTCAGCAGAGACTTTGACACCACACACGTGGGGAGGCCATGGCGAGCAGAGGGGGCCCAAGGGCCCCAAGTTGCCAGGGACCTCATGTAGGTCTTAGAAGTTGTGATCAGACTCCGCCTCTACGTTCGTGTAGCTCGAATTTTGACTGCATGTGTTCTACTGTCCTACTTACTAAGTCACAACTGCGTTGGTGAATCGAACGTTCCATCGAACCCGCCCGACAAACTGTGCCAAGCTGACACTGGCCAGAGGCCAGTTTTCCAGTTTTCGCTGCTTACGCTGGCCGAACGACCTGTATACATCAGATGCGACCGTAACAGCGTAACCACAAATCAATTCAAAGGGTTCCGCGGAAGCCCCATTTTGCAGCCGTAAAAAAGGGCAGTTTGTAATGAGTCGGTGGTGTCTGTAGGTTTCCACCTTAATGGCAGTCTTACAGGCCGTCACTAGCTCGAAGTGCATGAGAAGGGCCCCATACCGCAAATCCAAAAAGGTCCGGACACTGAGCCTGCAGCACGGGTCGAAGGACACAGAGGCCTGCCCCATGGTCAATGGTGAGGTTCGTAAAGCATTTAATGTGATTGCTTTACCATGTCTTCATGATGCTCTTTCGGGACATCTCGCTCGCAATTTGTGGGCTCCACAACTACCAAGAGCAGTGAGATCTTTTTCAAGGACAGAACGTAAGCACAAGACTCAGCTGCCATCAAGATCTTGAAAGGGATTCTCCAATCCCACGCACGAATTACAGAGTAGGCTTCAACGATCCTTCGCAAATCAGCAGTCCTTTCACCCTCGGTCGCATGCGAGCTGGAGGCACTGTAGACTCTTCTCCAAACCCAAGACTAAGCGAAGCCTAAGGAGACCCAGATCCAGTCCTGAAATCTGAGCTTGCGCTTTACTTTGCCATGTCTGAGCCAAAGCCCGTGTCTGCCACCTTGCTCGATTTTCTCGGAAATCCCCCTGCAGTCCCCACGCCGAAAGGAGCACCTCCGCACTGGCCTGCGAGATCCGCGATCCACTCTCTACGAGTTGCCTGGCAGAGTCTGTAAAGTTGAGCAGCTAGCAGTGTTGCTTTGGCATTTTTGTTAAATTTGGAGGCGTGTAAGGCTCCCGTCCGCCACAAATCCTACTCGCATGGCTGGCTGCGCATCGTCTTGTCAGGTTCATTAGGACCACTTTGATTTGGGTCATGAGTTGAGCCATTGAAGCGGGACCTCTGCAAGGTTCTGGCTGCTGAGGGCTCTGGAGCACAAGAAGTTCTCCTGCGTTCAACGAGCCATGGGCTGAGCTGTGCAGTTCACAGTGGGTGGGGCTCTAATTTAACGGTTCTCCGTGATGAAAGTTCATGGCCTTTCACTTCCAGCCCCAGGCCCCAGCTTCCTCAAAGCTGAAATCTCCATGTACTTCCTGTCTGCTGCAGAGCGAGGTTGGCTTTCTGGTCTATGAGGGGCTATGCTGCCAGCCTGCACCCAGACTGGTGTCTGCTATCAGCCGCAAGTAACTTGCGGTGAACGACCACTCATTGGCCCATATTGGCCCCATTTCAATAATGCACCGTGAGGTCTGGTCTTTCTTCTCGCAGTCGTGTACAGTCCGCCTGGCGACTTTGCTTTGCAAGATCATGTAAGAGTTGTGCCTAGATCCCACGATATGGAAATCTAATATACAGCTACAGTGTTACAGGGCTTGCAGTTCTACAGCAGTCCTGGAGATCACGGCAGCGCTTCTCACACTCAGCGTCCCGTCCTTTCACGACCGCAGCCTCCTTGGCAAGACGACGGCAGCTTAAAAAGCTGCACAACCTGGCAGCAGTCCTTTCGTGCCAGGTTCTTTGTTGGACAACATCTGGCTGGTTGCCTGAGACTCAAGCCCCACGCGAATTGCTAGGTGCAAATTGCTAGGATCTTTCTCGGGTCTCTGCTGTGGCCCAGCAGGTTCCAAAGCAGGCGTGGGTGCGAGAACAGAATATCTGCACTAGCTTGAGACGGGCCAACCTTCCTACCCCTTCACTCGCTGAAGATGTGACCGCTCTAAGATACTCCTGTACAGCATCCACTATCTGCCGGAGCCTCAGCCAGCAGCGGGAATTTAGGCGTCATCTCAGTCCGACGTTTGCCCCGTGAGTTTGATTTTGAAAGGCAAGGACAAACGGAAGCTATACCACATCCAGCTGCATATCATGATGCATAACCCGTCTGTTGGGTGGACTTGCGTTGCTTGATTTCTCAGCTATCACGGAGGCATCTTAGTCTAAGCAAATCAAGAGGCCAAAGGGCCTGCACCAGCTATTGGCTCGTGCTTAAGTCGGGCTTATCCCAGCAGTGCGCAGCTCCGATGCCCAAACACGCGGACTCCGCCATCTGGACGCTGCATGCTAATTGTCAAAACCCCGGCACGAGATTGGAACAATCAATTTGACAAGGCTCATGGAGATCTGGCGCTTGCTGTACCGACCCACAGCAGTCCGGCTGCAACAGGGATTTAGCTGGATGCTTCCCATGTTGACTTGCAGTTGGAAGTCTGCCCTCAAAACTCCAGGTTTGCAGTCTGATTCAGGCTTTGCAGTTAAACACAATATGTTATAGAGACTCTTCAAAGCAAACTCATCCTATTTGGCGCTAACCTGTTCTTATCCGTGAAAGTCTGCGAGACTTTCGAACGCCCAGGTCATAACGCTCCTCACGACAGTGATGTGGCTACTAGTGCCTGGAGCTTTTCAGGAGTCAGAATTCGTGGTGAAGACCAGGTTTGCCGGCTCATTGAGGTTGCAATCACTATCCATCACGGCAAAGTTAAATAAAAGACAGTTACTACCTTGATGAAAATCGAGTCTAGGCACGGCAGGCTTACACCAGCACTTTAAAGTCTGTGACAGCAAGCTACCTGATGACTTGCAACCTTCAAGCTTTGACTCTGATGCTGTTTTGGGATAGCTGCATCTTTCGCATCCATGCGCATTCTCCGACACGAGCTTGGTTTTGACAACTCGGGCACCTTAATCTGTGCTGAATTGCTTCCTGAAGATGACTTGCATTGCAGCGGCGGCCCCTCAACTTAGTGACTGTCGAGGGCCGTTGCAAAGCTGAGGCCGATCATCATTGAGATGCCGCTGCTAAACTCGCCAGGGACCTGGAAGCCCGAGAAAGCAGGGTGCCGGCTGGAGAGCGCAGGGAGAATTGATTCAAACGCATTCAGGGCCCTGGAGTTTGTTTGCCTGAGCAGCATCCATCAACATGAGGCGACCTTCAGGCATTTGCAGTCTAGATCCTCGACCTTTTCCCGAAGCACACTTGTGTTTTCAATGCTGCAGTTCAACACCGATCAGGTTCTTCCTTCTGCTGGTCCTGGTTGTCTGCCTTCAGGCTTGAAGCTTTCGTTCCTGGTGGCAAATGGACGGCTGCAGATGAGTAGCCTGTGAGATGTTCAGGTCAAGGCCAGTCCATATGAAGTTTGCTGAAGGGTTGGTGGGGCAAGTGAAGTTAGAGGGTGACCGTCAGCCTGCCCCAGGCCGCAACTTTCATCCGGCCTCAGAACCCTGTGCCCGTGCATCTGTTCACAAATATATCTAGATGGATGCTTGTTGTGTAGTGCATGTGTGCACCTAGTGACAATCGTGCGTAAAACGCTACGTAAAAGCTTCCTTCTGGTTCGTACAGTTGTGAGCGTACAGGTGACTTAATCGTTTGCTGCTGTTCGACCCCTCAAGAAAGCCGCGAGTTCGACACAGATTTTCTGGTTAGCTCTCCAGTTAGTTCGCCGCCATGTCTGACCTCAGGAGGACCTGGAGGAGCTTCTTCGTTAGTCGCAAGGAGAGCAACATCAGCTGCTGCTGCTGCGAGCTGTGGTCGACTCCGAAGCGGCTTTGGCGACAGGGGCCGAGCAGATCCCCGAGCCCCGAGCCAGCAGCGTCTGCGCCGATCTCACGTTCGGTTCCAAATTCGTCCACAGGAACCCCGTTGCAGGTTTTGGCAGCGACGCTCACTACCCCCTCCACTCCCTGTTCGGCCAGTGCCCTGGTGGCTACATCGCCCCCGGCCCCAACGGCGATATCGGCAGCGGCGTCGTCCTCCTTGTCGACTCCTTCGCAACAGCGGTGGTGTCTGGCCCGGTTACCAACTCGTAGGTTGCGGGCAGTTCGGCACAATCCCAGGCCTTTGTGACAGGAGGCACGCAAGTGACATGGCTCGCAAGTGACATGGCTCGCAGTGGCCCCTATGCATCTGTTCGCACCGCCTCCGCGCCCTTAAAAGCCAGCACAGCCGGCTTCGCCTGCACGGCTTCAGGTTTCCAGCAACAGCCAGCAGCTAGCACTAAGCCGCCACGACAGCGCGAGCCTTGCGGAAGTGCCAGCCACTAGAAGCAAGCTCAAGCGGCGCAGGTTCCTGGTTCAGGCATAGCAGGTGCACTGGGCAAGGCCCAGGTCAGCCCAACAAGGCTAAGCCAGGTGCTCAGGCCACAGGTTCGTCAGCAACAACAGGAGGCACCCCAGTCCTTCTGTAAAGGAAGGCCTTTGTGCAGGTAGCGAGTGCAGGTCTGCCAGCAGCCCAGCTAGGTCAGGCCGTAGCCGGCTTCCAAGGCCCTCCGCACAACTTGCCACGACAACACAGCAGGCACCCAGACAGTTGGCACCGCGTCGGGCAGCCAAGTGGCAAACGGGAGCAATAGGCCACGTTGTCCCGGCGCAGGCAGGTCAGGCAGGCGGCAGTTCGCTCAGCAGGGCATGACGGAGCTCGGCTACCAGGTCAGCAGATCCCAGTCGTGGGAGCCGCTCTCACCACTTCCGTGATAATTGCAAAACGGTCCTCGTCGGTTTCGCGTTCGCTGGGGTTTCAGGGCGGGTTCGTTCATGGTTTGTCCAGGGTTCGGTTGGCTCCCCTTTTCAAAAGGACCCAGCTACGTTTTGCGAACAAAGTTCGCCGACACCAAGAACCCAATCAGCACGTGCGGGAAACAAAAGGGTCTCTGGCGTACGCCAGTCGGGCTTAGGAGTGCCTCAGTTGCGACTGCCAGTTTGGTAGCGTGATGACACGATGCTAGGGCTGAAGCAAGCTAGGTCAGCAGCACTGCGGCCCGCCGGTCACAGATTGTTCGCGCCTCGGATTTCCTCCAGACAGCAGAGATGTTGCGCGTTGACTATTCGTTGCCGAGGGACTACGGGGATGTCCTGGCGACGTGGTGTACGAACGGCCCCCCTTGGAGCGAACATGTTGTCCATTGCTACGTCTCCCGCAACTTGCCGAACAGTAGCGTCCTCTAGGTCGGGCTGGCAGAAACTCCGAACATTTTGCAGCTGCAAGTACTTCTACTAAGCTCTCGAAGGAGGTTCGCTGGAAAGAGTCGGCTTGCAAGGCAGCCCACAACGGACTTGGCCCTGGCGGAACAAGAATTCATGGAAGACAGGTTCGCTCGGACTTCACGGGCCCCTCGAGAATCACGCTGGCGTATACCTTGCAGAAGATGGCAGATTCCCGACACATGCCTCCAGTACCGGTGATATTCACCCTTACCAATCGAGTGGGGGTAGTGATGCAGGCAGCGCGCTCCCGTTCGGCGGCCCAGTATTTCTCCGTGGCCTAGGAACGTCGCGTCCAGCTTGGACCCAGGATCTGGACGTGGCGCGTAGTCAAACAATACGTTCGATCACGAGAGGCATGGGGCCTGCGGAGCCCAAACTTGACCTTGAGCTCGACAAGGCCGGACCAACGTTCTAATTTCAAGCGGGGAGCCAAATTCGGCCCCAGGCAATCCGCAAACGGCCCCAATTTTGTAGAGTTGCTGTGTCAGAAGTCCCTGCAAGGCGAGGCAATGGAAAAGGTCAGAACCGCTAGCTCTCGTGATTTCGTCGATCGCAAAAAGCGTCAAATGTCAGGGCCAGCAGGGGATACTGTCACGGAATGGCGAAACAGTGAGAGCACTGTTCAAGGATGCCCTGCGAGCTTAGCCTTAGCAATGGGTCTCAACATCCATGGATGTCCTGATGGGAGCTCAGAGAATGCTTAGGGGAAAGGTCAGGAGCTCAGAGAATGCTTAGGGGAAAGGTCAGCTGAATGCAACATCTGATGGCGTGAGCACCAGTGCAGCAGCAGTCATCCTCTTGCCTGAGGGGGCCTCCAGCTCTGCTCACTCAGTCCAGGTGCTCTCCACTCGCATGATGAACAGGCGCAATCAGCATTATCTGAATGCATAACTTACGTGCATGTACCAACTCCACAGTTGTGCTGAGGGCCATCTGCATCGATTCAAGACGTTGTGCAAAGGCTCGGTCAACAATCTGACTTAGATGTTTTGCAATCAGAAGAGTGGAAACCTTTCCTGTGGGGATGGAGAAGACCATCTCAGCAGCCAGAAGCTCAGACAGTCAATTCGCATTGCAAAAATCGTTGAAATGCCACTTCTCAACAGGGCTGCCGTCTTACCAGCCCCTGGTCCGTCAACAGAAGATGAGCCTGCTTCCCAACCTTGCCGAACGACACAAGCATATGAGCTCGTGGGAAGTATCACTCACGTAGGCGACTTAGCTCATACTGGTAACTACCATGCCTTCACTTTTCAGGCCAGTGCTAATGACAACATGATGGAGCTCGCACATGCTGAGATCATGAAGCATGACGACAACATTGTCCCACAGCAAGCTACTCCCTCTCACGTAGCCCAGATCACCAACAATGCCTACATACTCGCGTTTAGGAAAGTTGGCTGTAGCTAGTTCGGGCTCCTCGGAGCGGCTAAGTGCACATAGTTCGCATGCAAAATGTTTCGGCACCATGCAACTCCCTGGCGTCCTGGCCACAAGCGCCTGCGCCCGCAAGACTCAAGACTCGAGACTCTCGTGCAGCGTGTGAATTAAAAAATGGACGGACTCTCGAGAAATGACTGGACGTTCGCGAACACCAACGGTTTTAGAAAGGCAGAATTCGATTTCAACCCCTTCTACGATTGGCTTCGCGCAATCCACGCCTCCGACCTGGATGCGTTGAGCAGCTCGTTCGGCAAGGTCGCAGACAACCTGTCCGTGCACGAGAGTGGGGAACAGCGCGCGGAGATGGCGTGAATGGCGTCATTCAGAAGTGAGTAGATGGGAACTCGTCTGCTCGTGAACCGATTTTGACCAAGCCCGGAAAAGTCCGAGTGGGTGTTGGCATAGGGTTGGGGCGAATAAGTTCTAAGTTCGCCTTACTGTTCGAATCTAAGCTTTGCTTGTCGTGTAGTGCACGTGTGCACGTAGTGACAAGCGTGTGGAAAACGCTATGTAAAAGCTTCCTTTTTTGTTGGTACAGTTGTGAGTGCGCAGGTGATTTTTTCGCTTGCTGCTTTTCGACCCTCAAGAGAGCCGCGAGTTCGGCGCAGATTTTCTTGTCCCACCTCACCCACCCTGGCGTCCTGGCGTGAATCGCGCTGTTCGGAAGCGAGCAGACAACACTCGTCTGTTCGTGAACCGATTTTGGCCAACCCTCAGCCAAAGTGAGGTGACGGAAAAGTCCAAGTGAGTGCTGGCATAGGGTTGGAGCGAATAAGTTCGCCTTATTGTTCGAATCCAAGCTTAGCTTGTCACTCGCCGCATACGATGGCCAGCCGCCCTAGCTGCAAACAGGGGGCCAACTGCTAGCCCCAGATCTGCAAAGACACTTCACTGAATCCATCTCCGGGATCCCTCAATTTCCATCAAGTTGGCTCAGCAGGTTGTCCGCTCGCTGGTCCAGCTGCTGGCGTGGATGCTGCCCGCGACTTAGACTTTCTGCTTCCTTTCCGTTCGGCTCGTTTAGGCCTTTGGCTGCATGGTGTTACATGTACGCTTTCTCTCCTCTATTGCAAGTCCAATCCGTGATCACTGGTCGCAGAATATGGTTGTCAGATTCTTTCGAAGGGTGTATATGGGCAGGAGATTTTTCCACAAGCAGGACGGCAATGGGTGCTCACAGGGTGATAGCACACAACCAAATCTTGCTTGCAGGTCCCAGGCTGAAGGTCTGGGACTTCCACAGCTGGTGCTCGGCGTCATTCGTGTCGAGCCAACAGTTAACAAGGAGTTTGCCATAATGAACCGCTAGACGGTGCCGCCTTGGCAACACCGCTTCTGCTGGAACAATTGGGGGATGCTTTCTGAAGCTAGTTTCCCTTGTCCCATCATGTCTGCGACAGAGCTAACGAGCGGAACAGCTCTCAAGATTTTGCTGCAGCTTGAGGTGAAAGCAAGTCCTTGAAGGTGATGGCCAGGGACGTCAGGGGAGTAACGGAGCTGGAAGTGGGGGGCCGGGGGGGCGGGCTGAAGGCCAGCCAACATGTTGGACCAAGGTCCAGATTTGGCTAGGCCCGCGATCCAATTGGCCTCAAGCGTTGGTGTCTTGGGAGGGGGCGTTAGGGGTTGGGAGCATATTTGCGTGTCTTTATGTCGGGCCTTTAGATCCAAACTTTGGGTGGACTGCAGTTTTCTGGGTTCGGAATCGTGTCCAAATGTCCAAGGCTGCGACCCAACCTGGACTGGAAGAAAATGCCGGAGAACTCTGAGGCTGAGCGCGCAGCCAAACAGGCCGCCGCACCCTGAAGGCTTTCGTGTGCGTGGTGATGCGAGGTGCTAGGGGCACGAGGCTAACTTCTGAAGACGTCGGGTCTGACCGAAGCTCCCTTCAGCTCCGTGTCATTGAACCATAAAACACCCAGTTTAGGCGCGACCAGGCTGACATACGCTTCGGAAGCTTTGCTCCACTTACCTGCCTTTCAGATCTCAGTCCTTGAGCCATTTTGATTAGGTAGGCTCTTGCTCGCAGAAGCCAAGCCAGCGGTGCTTGTCCGAAGCTTGAAACCCACTTCGCTGCTGCAACCAATTATAATTATGCTCCCTACATGACTACCTCGGGCTGGTCGTTTGGACTTTCCTGAGGCTTTTGGTTTCTGGGTAGCCTTGCGTTTGGGCCGTGGGCTCCTGCACACTCCAAGCATGCTGCTGAATGATCTCTCCAGTGCTTTCCGCAGCTACAGAACGGGAACCACTTCTCTGGAAGTCATCGCTTCTCTTCTGCCAGGCGACGGCACAACGAGTTTTTCAGTATGACATTGCCGTGGAGTACCTGTGCCTTGCCACAAGCTGACTACAGCTGCACATGACTTCCCGTCCTCACCTCACCTCTGTCTGCAAGACAGGAAAGAGGTAAACATTTTCCAATAGCTTTGATCTTGATCCTGGTGCAGCAGAAGTATATGCAGATGATGTGGGCGCATGTATGTTGTCAGGGTAGGTAGTATCCTGAGCTGTAGCAAGGTATGTGAACATGATGGGCCACCAGTCCCTTCCTCAGACCAGCCATGTTTTTGGAGATATGTGCTGTCGGGGTGGTTTCCATTCTCATGGCTCTAAGAAGTTTTCTGACCAGTAAGTGTTGTTTGATGTGTCATGTGTTTTGCGGCACCGCAAGCCAAGAAAGGAACCTTCCCTAGCTGCTACCATAAAACCGATGGAGGGTGCTCTCAGCATCTCTGAGCGATCCAATAACATCCTCAGTCAGGAGCCAGTCCCAGAAACCTGCAGCATGTGTAAGGCTTCACCTGTACGCTGCGTTTGCCATTCTGCTGATGAACTTTGCCCCTGCCTTACTTGAAATCGAAGGAGTGTCTGTTTTGCAGTTGTCTTTGGCAGGGTGCAGATGGTTTGATGGTGTTTCAAGGCTATATGTCTTGATGCTCGGTTGCTGTGAAATATGGCAAATCCCGGCTTGTATCAACAGCCCTAACCTGACGGCCAAACCCGGATTGCTCAGGCAGTCCAGTCTGTCTTGGTTGTGCTGGAGCTACTGTATGGCTTGCACTCTTGGGCTCTGCTGTGCGGATCCTACGGTTCCATTGAGTCCAGTAGCTGCTTCTGTTGCTGGCACATTCCAGTGCGATTCGGTGCGATCCAATGCATAGCTGCTTGGGAGCGACCGTGTAATCCGTTTTCACCCGGATTCTCACACCCCTCCTTGAGATGTAAACTCCACTGCCCACATGCTGAGCTCAGCCATTAACACTCCAGACAAGCAGCCACTGAACCAGGGAACTGCTGTCAAAGGCTATCCGTCGGTTTTCGGGTAAACAACAAGAGGCATTAGCAACTCTTGCAGAGGATCTTAGAAAGGTCCAGGCTGAGTATGCGGGGTTGGCAGTCTCTGCAGGAGTCGCCACGCCCATGTTTCATGCAGCACGACGCACTGCAAATTTCTGCAAATTTCATGCCCTCCAAACACTTCGGAATCATGTCTGACATTCATCCCTGCTTGCATCGCAAAATCGGGCGTGGGGGCGGCGACGAACCATCCGAGCGCCATGAGATTCATTGAACCTAAAGCAGAAGCCTCGGAAATTAGATCTTTACTTTAGGAATCGACGGCTGCGCAGCCGGCGCTGCTGCCAAACAAGGCGCGGCTACCAGTCAGGGCCCTGGTGCAGGACCGGCTCAGTACTCCTAAACGTGACCCGGCATTTGCACAGTCATCCTGAGCTTTAGCAAGCCAAGATTCCCTGATTCCCCACGCCTCGGCACAGTTTTTTTTTGCCAGAAGTTGAGGCATGAACTTGAAATTCCATCAAATGAAGCCATTTGGCTGACGCCACTGCGCATAAACCATCCCCTATCTTTGCATGCTGCAAGTTTTGCTGAGGCCAAGCTGACGAGACGGTGGAGTTATGCTACTGCTAAGCATAAGCTGATAATGGACCTGGCAGCGCAAGTTGCTACATTGCCGCACTGCGAAACTTGCGCTGGAACAATCGGTCCGCAGACATAGGCAGGCAGTCCTTGATTTGAGCAGTTGTTGCTGTTTGAAGCTTCAAAGCAGATGCGTTGGAGGTTAACGCTAAAGTTTCAGGCATTGAAGGCGTGCATTTGCGGCTGCGATGCAGGCGACGCAATAGGCGTCAATGATTCTTTCTGGCAAAGCCGACGCGAAGCAGTCCGCTCCGCATTGATCGATTGAAAAGGCTCATAGGGATCTATGTCTACAAATAGGCCAGAGCAGCACGCCAGCGGTCAACCGTCCTGCACTACTCTACAAGCACTAACTTATTCGGTCGCCGTCCTGTGGTCCAGTGGTCTGTAACCTTCTCGAATGCTTGGCCTGACCGTCACCAGGAACTGGTGAATGTCATGGTGTTGGTGTCTAGTGGATGAGATGCTTGCAAGCACCCTGCATCTTTGGATCAAGAGCTTGGAGCTCAGTTCCACAGCATTCCATCGCTGCAACATCTTCACCCACTCGAAGACCAGACACCTGCTTGAAGTCAGCGCAACTCCAGAGCTCGCAAGGGACCTCAAGAGTGTTCATCCAACCTAGCATTTCTGACACATGCTGAACTCTACCCACACCTGAAGCTGCAAACCAACAAGAAAACCTTTCTAAATATTTCGGCTGCAGCCTTAACCCCAACAACTCAGAACGCCGTGGTGAGATGTGCCCAGCCCCACTTGCACTTGCGAAACCGCCAGTCTCTCGAAGTCGTCTAAGCCCTCGAGCCTGCCATGTCCACCGCATTGGGGCGGGGGACGTAGCAATGGCTGCCCCTTTTGAGGGCTTCAAGGCCTTCCACGTGCTGTTTCTGTTTTGTGAGGGTTTCTACCGTTTCAGATGTGGTGAGGTTTGAGAAAACCCCAAAACCATTGATCCCCTCTCCCCTCGGCATTGCAACATCCACAAGCTTTCACCATTTGGGATGGTCCTGGATTCACATGGGCTCTCAACACCTGTAATCCTGATGTACTCTGATCTTTCAAGTTCTGCATGCCGACTCCTCAATCCCCCTGTTCCAGAGAACGTTTCTGGCCAGCATCTTCTATTACCTGCTACACCTCCACTGTGCAAGTAGCCCTAATGGTTCCGCGCAGAACATCAAGCTTTGGAGCCAATCATGTATATGCTGCGATGTTGATGCGAAACAACTGCAGGTGGAGGCTCCGCTGATCCGCCACGTTCTGCGTGCCCCTGTGGCCAAGGGAGGGCCAGAGGCATTCGAGGCGGCCTTCTAAAACAACACTTTGAGCAGATGTAGCTGTCAGATCAAGCTCGTGAAAACCTCGGCCACCGCCACCACCACGCCGCCACCGCCACCCCCGCCACCACCGCCACCACCACCGCCCACCGCCGCCGCCCCCACCCCCCCACCACCACCACCGCCGCCGCCGCCGCCACCACCACCACCACCAGCACCAGCACCAGCACCAGCACCAGCACCTGCACCAGCACCAGCACCTGCACCAGCACCAGCACCAGCACCAATCACAACCACAATTTCAACCCTGATCTCAAAC